GATTCCTAGAAGTACGGAAACTTCCAAGTAGGTGACAGCAAGGGGCTGTTTCCTATTGTGAGCTGGGGGGTTAATCCGCTGAACACACGCTCTGCTCTCGATGCCACCAGTGGAGCTTTGCCCGCAGTCTCTGTCCACGCACCCTGGGCCACCGGGGAATGGATGTTGTCCATTTCATTGTCTCTCGCAGGTGATGCTGGCGCAGGGGTGGGTGGCGCCTGCCTGTGGGGCCCTTGCCTGCCTCCCCAAGGTGCTGGCGTGTTCTGTCGCTGAGCCGCTCTGGAGCTTCAGTGTCCCTGGCATGGGTGACACTGCTGGGAGTGCCTCTGGGCTCCTTGCCTGTGCCCTTTTTTTTTTCTCAGGATGGATTTCTGGAAGCAAGGCTACTTCTCAGTCCTATTTCCGAATCACTTCCTCAGTGAGTCCTCCCCAGGCTGCAGGTGCCGAGCGGGAGCATCACTCCTGCACGCCCATGCCTGTGGCATGCCCAGCTGATCAGGGCAGAGCAGCCCAGCTCAGTTTCTTCGTTTAGGGCCATTGAGAGTTTCTTGTGTCACTTGAATTCCTCTTCTGGGAATTTTTAGTTGGTGCCATTTTGCTAAGTTTTCTGTTGAGTTCCAAGCCTCTCGTGGCACTGTGAATTTGCTGTGGGGTGCAGGTGGAGGCCCACGGCGGCTGGATCTGGAAATCCTTTCCCACCCCAACTGTGGTCCTGGTGGTTTTTTAGGTGGAGGTGGCTTTGTCCTCTTGCCGTGGCTCCCGCAGCTCAATGCTGGGCGGCTGCTCTCACTCTCAGCAAGGAAGGCGGCCCCTCCCACACAGTTTGCAGGGATGGGCTGCTGTGTTCTTGTGGTTTTTCTCTCCTTGGAGTTGATACTTTAAACCATGTATCTCATCACCTGTTCTGGCACTTGCTGGCGTGTGGTGAAAGCTGAGGATGGGAGAGGCCATGGGGCTTTCTCCGTCCTCATCCGCCTGCAAGAGCTCTGACCAGCCTGGGCTCAAAGGGACCCTGTCCCTCCCACACTGCCTGCCCCGGTGTAGTTTATTATGAATTTCCCTTTGTTATTCCTCTGCGCTGTTTCCTGGTCACAGGCCTGTCTGTCAGAGTGGCTTCCCGCCGGCTCTGTGGTCCCTCCAGGCATTTCTGTGCTCTGTGCTTTCTGTGCTGTGGTGGATCGGGTCTTCCTCATCACATGTCCTTTTCAGGACCCTTCTTGATTTGTTTCTCTTTGTTTTAATCCCCACGTTGTGTGTGTTTGATGGTGAAGTCCCTGGTGTGAGAGGAGGGTTGCACTTGCCCACATGCCGTACACTCCTCTTGCTTCAAACTCACAGGATAGGGTGTGTGTGAGGCCAGGCCCTGGGTCCTCCCTCTTGGTGCAGGCCTGGGCACCTCTGCCCAGGTCTAGGTGGGTCAGAGGTAGGGCTGGGTAAGCCCTGGGGGAGGATGCTGTGCCCCCAGCTTGGCCAGTCAGGTCTTCTTACAAGTGCTATTGGCCCTGTGTGCAGCCAGGCAGGCATGTGGATGTGCTCGGATATTTATTTGATCGTCTTATGCCTTCTTCAAATATAAAACATATTATTAGCCGGGCGTGGTGGCTCACGCCTGTAATCCCAACACTTTGGGAGGCCTAGGCAGGAGGATCACAAGGTCAGGAGATTGAGACCATCCTGGCTAACATGGTGAAACCCCGTCTCTGCTAAAAATACAAAAAATTAGCTGGGCGTGGTGGTGCGCACCTGTAGTCCTAGCTACTTGGGAGGCTGAGGCAGGAGAATCGATCACTTGAACCTGGGAGGCAGAGGTTGCAGTGAGCCAAGATGGCGTGCCACTGCACTCTAGCCTGGGTGACAGAGCAAGACTCTGTTTCAAAAAAAAAAAACAAAAACAACCACACACATGCATTATTTCTATAGTAGAACCTCAGATCAGGAATTTCAGTAAGAGCAAACAGAACACAAACCAGTAACTGTTAGCTTTAACCAAAAGAGGTAAACTGCAGGCATTAAAATAGTATCTTGGGGCCAGGTGCCGTGTCTGATGCCTGTAATCCCAGCCCTTTGGGAGGCTGAGGCAGGCAGATTACTTGAGGACAGGAATTCGAGATCAGTCTGGCCAACAGGGTGAAACCCCATCTCTACTAAAAATACAGAAAAGTTAGCCTGGCGAGCACAGTGGCTCACACTTTTAATCTCAGCACTTTGGGAGGCCGAGGCAGGTGGATCACGAGGTCAGGAGGTCGAGACCATCCTGGCTAACACGGTGAAACCCTGTCTCTACTAAAGATACAAAAAAAATTAGCTGGGCATGGCGGCAGGTGCCTGTAGTCCCACGCTACTCGGGAGACTAAGGCAGGAGAATGGTGTGAACCCGGGAGGCGGAGCTTGCAGTGAGCCAAGATCGCACCACTGCGCTCCAGCCTGGGAGCAACAGAGCAAGACTGTGTCTCAAAAAAAAAAAATTAGCTTGGCATGGTGGCATGCATCTGTAGCTCCAGCTACTCAGGAGGCTGAGGTGGGAGAATCTCTTGAACCCGAAGGCAGAGGGTGCAGTGAGCCGAGATCTCACCACTGCACTGCAGCCTGGGTGACAGAGTGAGACCCTATCTCAAGCAATCAATCAATAAATAAATTAATACCTTGGCCAGGTGTAGTGGCTCATACCTCTAATCCCAGCACTGTGGGAGGCTGAGGCAGGAGGATTGCTTGAGCCCAGGAGTTCAAGGCCAGCCTGGGCAACATTAGCAAGACCCCGTCTCATAAAAAAAAGAAAAAAAGATTAGCTGGGCATGGTGATGTGTGCCTGTGGTCCCAGCTATTTGGGAGGCTGAGGTGGGAAAACGGCTTGGGCGCAGGAGATCGAGGCTACAGTGAGCTGTGGTGGCACCACTGCTTTCCAACCTGGGTGACCGAGCAAGACTTTGTCTTTAAAAACAAAAATCTGTGAAGTCTCAGGAATCAAAAGTGAGGCGTGCTTGCTCATAAGGTGTATCGAATCAAAGCCTGTATTTGAAAGTTGCTCTTTGAATTTCTGCCATCTCTGAATAAAAGTGTTTTACTATGATGGAAAAGCCAGAGGAGATGTTCTTACGGCAAGTCCGACTTGGGTCTTTCAGGGCTTTGTGATGATAAACTACTCTGCGGGTCCTGAGCACTGAATCGGGGGCCCCAGCTTGCGGGGTAACTTGAGGGTGATCATCTCATCCAGCTGTTGACTCCACGGGCAGCCGCCTTTCAGGAGGCAGTTCTGCGCCTCACCACAGCTTTGCTAAGGCAGCAATGACTGTGTCACCTGCCCGTTTCTGCGGCACGGTCCTCCCCAACCTTTTCCCTGCTGTGTGGATGCCACTGGCAGTGAGGGGACAACAGGCACTGTGTCTGGTATCTGCAGGCTCCGTTGCAAATACACATTAAGGCTCTGCATGGCAGTGGCGTGTGTGCTGGGTTACGTGTGGTGGTCTCTGCTCATCCCGAAGTGAGGCTGACTCTGTGAGGAGAAGGCCAAGGCCACGAGGAGTTCATGTGGCAGGAGGAGCGTGGAGAATTTCTGTTTGTGATTTTCACGGGAGCATCTCTTTCTTGTTTCTTTCCACAGGCACCAGTTTGTAGAAAATAATTTAATACTAAAGATGGGCCCGGTGGATAAGCGGAAGGTGAGTGGTCAGTGGTCCCGATGCTCTGCACGCACGCCTGCATCTTCCCCGACTCCAGCTCAAGGGAGGGCAGCTTGGTGGTGTGGAATCCTTCCCTCTCTTGATTTGCATCAAACATCATCTCTAGATTTCATAGCTCGGGAAGGCTGTGAGCCCCTCGAGAAGCCGTGTGGAGCCACACACGTGGTGGTTAGGGCCGAACACAAGCAACCTCGGCACACTCCTGGGAGCCTGGGGCTGCCCGTTGTGAGGTTTCCATCAAGCTGAAGAGGCCACGTCTGATATCTTAGCCAGTGTTCTCACATTGCTTTAGAAGTGTTTCAAAACCATTTAAGGGTTATTCTTTATTTTATGGATTGAAGGGATCCAGCACTTAGCACATGGTCTGTGTGGAGCCAGGCAGGAGTGTGGATGTGCTCAGATATTTATTTGGTCATCTTGTACCTTCTTCAAATATAAATCATATTACTTCTATAGTAGAACGTCAGATCAGGCATTTCAGTATGATCAGACAGAACACTAACCAGTAACTGTTAGCTTTAACGCTTGGTTAGAAAATATTCAACTCCAGGTGCTCACATGGGGCCACTTCCAAGCGCAGGCTCCTGGCCTCTCTTCCTAGCCGTGTGTCCTCCGCAGGCAAGGACCTTGGTGCGGGTGTGTGGAGGCCAGTTCCTGAGAGCAGGCTCCTGTCCCAGGCAGAGCAGAGGGGCCAGGGGAGCCATGGGCCTGACCTGGATGGGCCTGAGCTGCAGCCCCTGTGACCTTAGAAACTGGGCCTGGTGGGGCAGGAAGTACCCTGCCCCTCGGTGAGTGCACAGGTGGTGGCGGTGGCCCTGTGCTCCGAGCAGCTCCGAGGGGCTGCCCAGCCCTCTAGGCTCCAGGAGATGCTGCCAGCACTGGCCTCTGAGGCCTGTTTTGTGTGTTTTGGTGTCAGGGTTTATTCGCACGACGACGACAGTTGTTGCTCACAGAAGGACCACATTTATATTACGTGGATCCTGTCAACAAAGTCCTGAAAGGTGAAATTCCTTGGTCACAAGAACTTCGACCAGAGGCCAAGAATTTTAAAACGTTCTTTGTGCACACGGTGAGTCTGTTCCCAGGGATTCCTGTGTGCAGGGTGACAGGAGGGCTTTGTAGCACGTGGGAAGCAGCCGCAGGCCTTGGCCAGAGGGAGCAGCGGGGATGGGGCAGCTGCCTTGCCCTTTCCGACATCCCAGATGCCCACACTAGCGGCTCAGTCCTGAGGGGCAGGAGACGCCCGTGCTTGGTTTCAGTGTGGTGGTGACTGGGGTGTGGTCATCAGCCTGCATGTTTGCTTTCTGCTTGTGTGAAGAACCACCACACCCACGTGCTTCCAGGACTCGGAATGGCTGGTAGCGGGCAACGCACCAGGTTGGGGTGGGGGTTTTGGTGGGACTCCTTCGGGAACACTAAATGGCTTCTGTCTTTGCAGCCTAACAGGACGTATTATCTGATGGACCCCAGCGGGAACGCACACAAGTGGTGCAGGAAGATCCAGGAGGTTTGGAGGCAGCGATACCAGAGCCACCCAGATGCCGCTGTGCAGTGACGTGGCCTGCGGCCGGGCTGCCTTCGCTGCCAGGACACCTGCCCCAGCGCGGCTTGGCCGCCATCCGGGACGCTTCCAGACCACCTGCCAGCCATCACAAGGGGAACGCAGAGTCGGAAACCTTGTAGCATTTTTATTTAAAAGAAAAGAAGAAAAAACACACCCAACCACACAAAGAACAAAACCAGTAACAAACACAAAGGAATTCAGGGTCGCTTTGCTTGCTCTCTGTGCTCTGTGGAGGCCTCCATGTGCCCTCGTTGCCATGGGGACCCAGCTCCGTGCACGTCAGCCCAGTCCCACCCAGACTAGTGGACAGACCTGGTGTCACCAGCTTCTCCTAGCATCAGTCCGAACCATGCGCTCACCCTGCCCCAACTGTGTGCTGGTCCTGCTGTGGCCAAGGGGACCGGGTGTGTTTGGCTCTTTCTGCCCCTCCCACTGTGGTCCTGGAACTCTTCACCAGGGAGGGAGCCTCTGCGGCCCTGCCAGGGGGCCGCACCTCTCTGTGGAGGGAGCCTCTGTGCTTCTGTCATGTGCTCCCTTTCTTGCGTCTCCCTGTGTATGGCCCTTAGGCCTGGCTGGGCCCATTGCATATCCCTGTGGTGGCTCTGGTGGCAGGCTTTCTGTGGCCCCTGCTGTGTCGGCAGGCAGACTCGCGTGGTGAGGAGCGGGAGGGGTTGGAGTGGTGTGGGAGCAGGCTGCCGAGTGGAGGGTGCCATCGAGGGCTCCGGATCCCTTGTCCTACTTAGCAGTGTTGGTCTCTGGGGCTGGAAGCCGAGCGCATGCTGGGAGCGGTACTGTCAGAGGTGAGCCCCATTAGTACCCAGCCAGCTCACTGCATGAGATAGGCCTGCCCCAAGCCCTGGGTGGGGCCAGGAGGTGCCTTGGAGAATCCAGCCAGAGCAGAGAGGGCCTGCTGACCTGTGTCTGGAGGAGAGAGGCCTGAGGACCTACTAAACGGTTTAAATGTCCAGGCCTCCCCAGTCAGTGAAGTAGGGTCTGAGAGAACCCTGGCCTCAGCAGACCCAGGGTGATTCTGTCTCCTGCAGACCACACCAGGGAGTGCAGGCACCACCATCACACACACCCCTTTTGTGCTGTGGCTAAAACTTCTCAGAGCCCACTCAGTTTCTACATATCTGCATCAAAAATCTCACAGCCTTCTCATGCTGCCTGCTCATCTGGCCCCATAAAGAGTGGACTTTGCCAGTTGCTGTTGCACAGGAGGCGAGAACAGGACACTTCAACCCCAGCTTGCTGGTCTACTTTCCTCTGCCGGTTTTGGGGCTGTTTCCCTTTGATGCTTTGGTGGCCTTCCCTGCTGTACAGCACAGATAGGCCAGATGCATTTGTCCTTTGCCTAGCTACTCCCCAGGCAGACACTGCTTCTGCTGACCTGGCAGGTCCGGGTCCTCCTCTCCCTGCCCAGGTTGTCCCTGGAGGGCAGCCCTCAGTCCCGTGGGGGAGAGGCAGACATCGCTGCCCACAGACCTGCCTCTGACTCAACTGTGTCCACCCTCCCTGCTTCCTACCCCCAAAATCACAGATGACTCAGCAGTGACCCTGTGTGCCTGGCCAGGTCCAAACTGAGAGGGAAGGTGTCCTTTTCACACTGCTAATGATGAGAGTGGCTCTTTTTAGCTAGGCAAGTGCAGATGGGAGCCTGGATGGGGCAGAAATGTTCCCCAGGCCCTGCCTGTGGTTTCTGCCTGGGCCTTGGCTGCTGCTGTGTGTGAGCTGCACGTGAGCCTGTCACCGTGAGCTGGGGCGAGCTGGGCCACACCTACCCTGGGGTGTCCCAGGGAGCAGGACGCTCTGGGGCCCAGTACGTTGCCCTGGGCCTGTGGCCGGAGTCAAGTCCTCTTTCCTCCTGCTGGCTTTTGGAAAGGCTTGGCTGTGTTGGGGAGTCTTGGTCCTTTCAGGAATTTCTGTTCAGGCTTACTCCTCCTTATCAGCTCTTTTATCCATCTCAGAACGTCCTGTGTCTCCGTGTAGGACAGTGGCTTCCTAACCCTCCTAACTGCACGTACAGGCACAGGAAAGACGTCTCAGGGCGTCTGGTTATAGGGAAACAAGGGGAGCAGGGACGTGGCTTTAATTGGAGCACTCGGCTGGGCTGCTTGGGGAGACTCTTCCGTGTGTTCTTCCTCTGGATGGAACCACCACCTCCTGGGCGTCACTGACAAGCTCCATCTTAACCTCCAAAGCCACAGAACTAGGGGCTCAGAGCCAGAGCTGGCAGCTGACAGTTGATGATGCCATTGCCTGAGCTCATGACAGCCAAGCCCTTCTGTGGGTCACCTTTCTCCTCACCCAGCCCCTTTCTCTTACCTTTTTAAAGGCTCGTGTGTTTGCTTTCTTTACGCTGCGCTTGCTCATGTCAACTCCAGTTTTATCCAGCACATCCTTAGAGCCATCAGCTGGCATGCAGGTGCCTTACACTCTACGGTGGAACGTGGGGTACCGTGTGTCCACATAGACGTGCTTACATGGAATTACAGTTGTGGGTTTATCCAAGGTGAGGAAGATTTCACCTGCTGTTTAATAGACCTGGGGCCATGTGCCTCCCCACACGTGGGCAAGGACAGGTGGAATGTCAGGACCACACTCTGTGGCTTCTCGGCACAAAGGGGAGGGAGGCTGTGGTCGCTGCCGGCCTAGGTGCCCCAGGTGCCTTGCCTTTCTCTGGGACACAGCTGGGGGCTGGCTTCTGAGGGATTCTTTTCTCCCCTCTTTGGCCGCAGCCAGGGCGGTGGGCCATCCTGGCGTGGAGCACAAGCCTCTCCACCGTAGTGAAATGGCTCTGTACCACGGCTACCACGTGGAGCCTTAACTTGCGGAAGGCTTGTTAACAATTCGTTTTGGGAGAGATGGGGCTGGTCATGCCACAGCCGCTGGGGACTCCGCCTACTCCAGCCCTCTTGGGACACACTGTGGGATTTGCGGCCCTTCCCCAGAGGAACTGTGGAGACTGTCCCATGGCACAGACCCCCAGGCACCAGCACAGGGCTCTGGGTGACTCAGAACTGACATTTGTCTCTGACAAGATCAGCTGTAGGCTCGCCGCCCAGAGAAGACCACTGTGAGCATTTTGGCCTACATCCTGCCCCGCCATTTGTTCACTTTTTCAACTAAATTGGGAACATCCGACACACGCTGTTTGCATCGTCTTCTCACTTGATATTCTAAGCATTTTCCCATGTCATGAGTTTCTCAGAAACACGTTTTTAACAATTGTAGTGTTTAGTTGTCCATTTACTATAATTTATCTGACCATTTCCCTACTGTAAAATATTTAGACGGTTTCTGATTTTTCCACTATTTAAATAATGCTGTGATGAATATCCTTAAAATCTTCTGATTTCTTACTTTTTTTCCCCCTTAGATGCCTAAAAGTGGTATTTTGAGGTCAAAGAGTTTGTTCATTTTAAATATATTTTTCTGTCTCTCTCTCAACCTTATGTTTAGATGCTCAGAGTTCCAGTAGCAGAACCACCTTAGTTGTGTCCTGCAGATTCTGAACAAATCAGTTTCTGATAAACTGTGTGTGTTCCAAAGAATGTCTGAATAAGACCGCTCTTTATTTAAATGCTAAGAGGATGTCATTGCTGCAATCCATTTGTGGCCGATTTTTTCCAAGAGCCAGTTTCCTTGTTTTGGTTGCAAGAACCTGGCTCCGCCTGCATGTCAGCTCTCTGCCATCCCTGCTGCTGTGGCTTTCAAGCGCTTGGCAGTATTTTCAGAATCTTGTACTTTGTGTCCACAATGGTACCGAATTTGCATCTGCACAGTCAGCAGAGATAACAAGTGTTGAACTGACCTTGCCACATGCTTAGTGAGTGATTTGTAATTAAGTTTATAGACTCAGAAAGTACATTAGGCCATTTGGAATCAGTAGCAGAGCAAAGCCTCCACTTGAAAAAAACCACGTCGCTGACTGGGTTTTCCGAGTGCATTTGTCTCCCCGCTCCCGCCCCTGCTTCAGGCCTTAGTGGTTCAGAAGAGCCCGGCAGCCAGGCTGGCTTTTTCATTGTAGGGCGTGGTTGTCCCAGCTGGTGTAGATTTCAGGCCGTCTCTTCCCCACTCCCTGCCCACAGTATTGCAGATTGCCTGGCTTGGCAAGTCCAGACCACCTAAATTTGGTTGGATTTTTCATTTCTCCACTTTAGTTGGGGTCCATTGATTGTACGGGGGAACATGCAGGAGGTTTTTCTAGGCACCGCGTTCAGTGCTGCTTCACTCTACCAGAGAGTATGGCCAAATAGCACAGAATTTGGTTTCTTGCCCTCCTCTGAAGCCTGAAGCACCCTTGCCTGGCTGGTCCACAGAGCCGGGGTGCTCACTGCTGGGACTTTAGAGCGCAGCTGCTGTGAGAATACGGTGAAGGTACTATGTTCTGGAAGATGTTGTCATACACTTTTCCCCAGTTATTTTCAAACTCAAACCTGACATGAACCTATGTTGACTCACTGGGTGGGGTCCCTTCTTACGCAGCACACGTGGCAAGTGCCTGAATTGGGGCTGGAGGCACTTCAGAGCCTCTGAGGGGCCACCACTTCTGGCCCAAAATTGCAGGGTTGTAGATGAGGCTGCCTGTGGAGAACTGATGTGAGGAGGAAGCTGTTTCCAACAAAGAGCACTTTGATCTGTTGCTATGGCTGTGGTGAGCACAACTGAAGGAGCCTATGTGTGTACCTGAATTTTCCCCATAACAACTCATTTCTTCAATATGAAGAAACACCAAACTATGTACAGGGAACTTTTTACAAAAGGCAGACCTTTTTTTAGCCGTGTAACCCACGTAGCCTAACCATCTGGCAGAATGACTACAAATAGGGGTCATTGTGCTGGTAAAAGCCTCTACTATGACTGTACGTTGGACGTTGGCAAAATTTAATTGTTACAGTATTTAGAGCTGCTGTAGCTGTTCCTTCACAACATAAAACAGGAGAAATGACGAGTACGTCTTTCAGGCGGGTGGCAGTCAGAACATGCGTAAACTCTACCTGGTCTGTAGCTGTAACTGTGATGTACAGGCAAAGCAAAAATTAAGAGACTTATGAAAACAATGCAATGATATTAGGATATACACTTTTGTATTTTTATTCTTATATAAGGTTATTTGCTGGCTATTGTTGGCCTCTAGTTCAGTCTGTGTTATTTAAATTCTAATATATGAATTATTTGGATTGAATTCATGTTCGGG